GTGTTTTTTTAAATTCAAGTATTGTCTGAAACAGATTTTCTTGACAAAATCCCTGAATATCTTGCCGTTAGGTTTTTTGCTGACATTTATGAAGAGGAGAAAGATATTTTTATACCTCAGGGAGATGTTATCGAAGCTTGAATCGAATAGTCACTCATGTCAGTCAGTCAATTTTATAGATAAAAAGATTATTTAAAAAAGTATCACTCTTTTACAGGAAGTAGAGCATGTTTCCCTTTTTTGCTAAACACCTGATGTCATCGCTGATTTTCAGTGATATCAGTTTTGCTGCTATTGTCCCTTTGAAGTGAATGGAAACTGTTAGATAGATAATTAAAACAGTTATTCGCTGGTGTTGACATGTTATATATTGCATGAATGTGATGGTTGCTTTGAGAATGAGTGAATATTTCTAGATTTTTGCCAAACAATTCTGTCATTGCTACTCAAAGTATGATAAATTTGTTAAATAGTAAAAATATGAACGTTATTAAATCTGTTGCATTATATCTAAAAAATGTATTTAGAAGAAGTTGTACGCACATGGAATGGGGTAAAATATGGAAGCCATTTAAATTCACACATTTTTACCGATGTTACTGTAAACTAGCAGTCAATGGAAAACGAGGCGGTAATCAGTGCGTGATTGTTGAATGGGGTAAAATATGCAAGCCAGTTTGTTGCTACAATAAATATGATATTTAGAGAAGCAAAATATATTATGCATTTTGTGTCAACAACACTTCGTTTTGATCCGTGAGTAGACACAATATATATGACTGTGAATTCTTTGAATAATGTGGACCAAAGACGGCAAAGTTATAATTATTGGTAACTGCCAGTTGTCTGTGGTCTGTGTTTGCCGCGATTAGGACCCCATCGCGGGGGATTGACTTATGCACGAAACATGCCATTTTGACACTGATTTTAAGGGTCAAGTTTGGGGGTCGTCTTATCCATGGGGTCGTCTTATAGACGGTCATATACGGTAATACCAGGTCCCACACGTGACCCAATTGTATTCTGTCGTGTTGTCGTACAATAGGCCATGTGGCCAGAGTACTGAATAAACTACTTGACTTGACTTGAATATTCCTTGGAGCATGAGAGTACAATCTACATTGAAACTGACTGTTGATGAGGGTACTGATGCTGTGCACGGTTACATATCACTGATGTGGAGACTGTCCTTCCAAGTGGCTGATTGTTATGTCATTGGTACAACATAATGCTGCATACCATATTTAACAGTTGCAAGTGGCCTTGTCTGACCAGCTGAAATGTATATTCTTACCTGTTTACAACTTATATAATCAACTTCTTGGGACATGCCAATGTCCCAGTCTCTATGATGCCACAATCAATTTTCACCCCATTCCAATCTCAAGGTTCCTGAACCATATTGTTTTCCTTTCTGCCCAGACCCATGTGGGATTCGACTCCCCGGTCTTCGGGCGGACGAGCTTAACGCTTTTAACCACTAGGCTACCCCTAATCATTTCCTTTCTGCCCAGACCACACTCTAATGCTGAGGCCTATAACTGAAGCAAATCTAGATTTTTTCACAAATGTTGCCAGCATCTTTAATCTGCATTAGTTAAACTTTGTTTTCCTTATTATACTGGAGCCCTTTACCATAAGTATTGCCTGTGAAGATCCAGGTTGGAATTGGTCTTCAGTAACCCATGCTTGCCATAAGAGGCGACTAATGGAAACAGGTGATCAGATTGGGTGACTTGATCAACACATGTCATTGTATCCCAATTGTGTAGATCAATGCTCTTGATGTTGATCACTGGATTGGCTGGTCCAGCCATGATTATTTTTAGACTGCTGCGATCTAGCTTGAATATTTTTTAGTGTGTCATTAAACAACAAACAAACAAATAACATAAGTATTGTTAAAAGCTGTGTTATTCTCGATTGTGCCATGACTTTAACCAAGCAGAATCAAGCAGTTTCGATCAGAGATTTCAAATCAAAATAACCACCTTTGATTGGTACCGCTGATTTGACTTTAAAATTTAAAACTTCATGGTTTGTTTCAAAATTCAATTCCACTTTGTCACCATTGGTAACATTGTAACTCTACTCTTAAACTGCTGTGGTTTCAGGTTCAAAATTTAATTTAGCACCGTCAAATCAACAGGTAACATAATACTCTACACTGAAAACAGAGTACTTTTATCTCATACCAGCTCCTATCACTGGTCAAGGTCGTACCGAAGGTGGGGATGATGTAACGTGGTGCAAGCCTATGAAATATATAATTCATTGTGAGTGGCGTTACTTTAACTGTGGGGATGAATAATGAATCTCCTTATCAACACCTAACATAGGTTTACTCCTGGAGAATGTCAAGGTTACAGCCAAGGCCCTGCCAAATTTACGCCCCCTTTTTCTTTTGAAACTGACTTTGTTCCTCGTGATCAAATATACATACATGTATTATGAAATGAACATGGGGATTCTTGAACCAGTTTCAATGCCAAATCCATTTTCCGTCAGTCATGGCAATTATTTGTTTTGTGTTGACAAATTGACAGAAAAATAATGTATCTTGTCACTGTATCCAGAGCATTTGTACATGAAGTGTTACATGAGTTTTGAACTATGTTATATACACTGAAGCTGTTATATGTCTGTACAGACCATGTGCCAGGTCGTATAGATTTGTTATCAAGACATGTAGAAAACCTGGGGGTCCAAGTAATGCATGTAGGGTTAAACATACAGACTGAGGCAGCAGTTTCTTCGGAATGCAAGATACAGTAGTGCCAGTTAATAAGAATTATGGGACCCGATCTTCTTTTGGTCAAATTACAGACAAGTTATTCATTCGGAAAAAAATGGCTTGTTTGAATAATTAAGTAAAAATATATGACATTATTCCAACTTGCTGTGTTGTGAAACTTTGGTACTATTGCAATATATAAAATAGTCTTGTGCATAGAATTACAGATTTATATTAAGGTAAACAATTAATGAGAGTAAACTAATCAGAAAACAAAAGCCACAATACAAGAAATTCTGTACACTGTTCGTTGTCCAGTTCATTTAGGTGTCAAAAGAAATACCAAACCTAATTTGATGTAATAAGGAATATTAAGGTAATTGTCTCCTCAAATATTTCATTTATAGCAAGCAATAACAGTAATGATTATAATTGTGTCTGTGTCTGGCATTTTGAAGAAAAGGATTCTTCTTTTGCATGATGTCTCATCACCCAACTTGTCAAAATCTGTAAACCTTCCAAAATCACAAGCTAGAAAAGGTGATTGTTAATTGATCTTTAATTGGTTGTTCATGTGACAATGAATGAAGTCAATGTCGAGTCCAAATAACGTTGATGTTTTTTGTGGACAAAATTTGCTGATACATGATGTACTACACTTATTTTTGTATTGGCAGAATTCGGTGTAAAATATTGTATTGATTCTGCCCAAATCAGAATGGTTGGCATTTCCTGATAAAGTATGGGTGCCTGTGACATTTGGTCTGAAAGAAGAGGAAAAGACGAGTGTGGATGCCTGGCAGTCTCACAGTTCCTGAACCATATTATTTTCCCTTCTGCCCAACTCTTACTTTAATGCTGAAGCCCATTAATGAAGCAAATCTGGATTTTTTTCCACAGGTTTGATCTCCCATCTCAGTGGAGCTCTGTATAAGATTTAAATAGAGTTGTTTCTATCAATTTTCTGTATTTTCAGAGCATTCAGCATTAGCATGGTTTGCAGGATACAGAACTAGTCTGTCTCATAGACCCTTAACCATAATATTTCCCTACTACCAAACCCTCCCTATGATGCTAAAGCCCTAAATGAAGCAGCAAGTCTAGAAATCTCTGGTCTCCCAGGGGATCCTTTTCAATTTAAATGGGTTTATTTGTTACTTTCAAAATTATATATATTCAGAAACCAAGCGTTAGTCTAGATACAGAACCTGAACACAAACAGGTTGTAAAGAATGCAGCTTTGTGTAATGGGTAGTGATTCATAAACACATGCTCATGACGTAGCAGGTAGGGGGAATCGTACAATCAACTCTGCTTTTATCGGAGATTTCTGATGGATATGGAAAGGGTTTTGTCACTTTTATTTGCACATTTCTGTAACAAAGTAACATGTCTATGTTGCTTAAAGTGTAATGGATTCCCAATGTCAGGGCTAAGCTGTGTCAAACTGGATCGACCAGGATCCCAGTGGTATTCGTAGGAACACAGTTAAATTACAAACTCACCCTAGAGTGAGTTGATATTACTTTAGGCGAACAGATGTCTGGAACTGGCCAGCCTGGACCATATTTCATTGTCGTCAATACTTCCATCAACAAAATCAATGCAGTATGAAACTGAGACTTCACATGACAAGAAATGGCTCAAAGGTCTCCAGTCCCACAGTTCCACAGTACAGGACATGGCGACTGGAGGGTTAAAAGATGGTTGTGTTTTAATAATATAATGTGTCAACTTTCTAAGGGACATTTAAAGAGTTTCTTGTCAGGATTGTTTATCTGCTGGCGCTGCTATTATTGCAAGTAAAGAGAGCTTCTCATGACAAGCTTGGTCAATAGGCCGTTAGTCACACACTCTGCCTATTGGTCAATTGGTTGTTAACAGTTCAAGCTTCAATGTGGCCTAACCAACATGTGGCAGGCTGCATGGCCCAGTAGCAGACAGGAATCACAGAGGAATTCCTGATTAGATAATTCAACTGTTGCTGAACCATTTAAGATGATTAGCCGATCTGCCCAGTTATGTTGGGATCGCTGGGCTTCCAGAGGAAATTCTAGAGTGACAGGTTAGAGGGGGGAACACGGAGGGTCTGAACAAATAGATGGGTCTGAGGAGAGTAACTGGCCTGGAGAGATAGGAGTTCAACAGATGGGCTGTATGGAGAAACATGACTTAACATTTATGCAAAAAGTAAAGTTGTCTCATTTAAGATACATATCTACCAAATAAAAGTAAAATTCAAGTCCAGATCAATATTTAATTTCAGGTCTTGCCAAATCATTCAAGACTTGAGTTGGACTCCTTTTTCAGTATATGCTCAAGGATCTGGGAGACAGACTAAGAGGGATGTAGATGGAGCCTGGTTCCCTGCAGTAAGAAATAGTGAGTGAGTGAGTTGGGTTTTACGCCGCTTTTAGCAATGTTACAGCAATATCACGGCGGGGGACACCAGAAATGGGCGTCACACATTGTACCCATGTGGGGAATCGAACCCGGGCCTTCGGCGTGACGAGCGGACGCTTTAACCACTAGACTACCCCACCGCCCCAGTAAGAAATAGAGAGAGACTGCAGTTGGCTTTGGCTTGGTTTGGTTGTTGTTTAACACTGCACTCAGCAATATTCCAGCTATATGGCAGCGGTCTGTAAATAATCAAGTCTGGACCAGACAATTAAGTGATCGACAGCATGAGCATCGATCTAAGCAATTGGGATACAATGACATGTGTCAACCAAGTCAGCGAGCCTGACCACCCGATCCTGTTAGTGGCCTCTTATGAGGATGGGTTACTGAAGACCAATTCTAACCTGGATCTTCACGTGGACTGAACAGATAGATGGTGCCGAACAGGTAGATGGTGCTGAATAGACTGTTGAACAGACTGAGGGGGCTGGACAGATTGATGTAGACTAACATATAGTCTCTGAAATCTGCATGCTTTACAGAAACAGTTCTTAAAGTATTTGAAAAGATGCATTAGAAAGGGGCGAGGAGAAACTTTATTCATTTACAGAAACTCCAGTAATCCAAATATAATAGACTGCTTGGGCTGTATTGGATATATTTGTTTCTGGGTCTGGATGGCAGAATATAATAGATGGTGCTGGTAGATGTGGTGAACAGATAGAAGGGCTGAACAGATAGATGTGGTGAACAGACAGAGAGGCAAACAGATAGATGTGGTGAACAGACAGAGAGGCAAACAGATACACAAACAGATAGAGAGGCTGGACAGATAGATGTGGTGAACAGATAGAGAGGCTGGACAGATAGATGTGGTGAACAGACAGAGAGGCAAACAGATAGACAAACAGATAGAGAGGCTGGACAGATAGATGTGGTGAACAGATAGAGAGGCTGGACAGATAGATGTGGTGAACAGACAGAGAGGCAAACAGATAGACAAACAGATAGAGAGGCTGGACAGATAGATGTGGTGAACAGATAGAGAGGCAAACAGATAGATGTGGTGAACAGACAGAGAGGCAAACAGAGAGGCAAACAGATAGAGAGGCTGGACAGATAGATGTGGTGAACAGATAGAGAGGCAAACAGATAGATGTGGTGAACAGACAGATAGGCAAACAGATAGACAAACAGATAGAGAGGCTGGACAGATAGATGTGGTGAACAGATAGATAGCAAACAGATAGAGAGGCTGGACAGATGGTTGGGGTGAAACAGATAGATGGCACTGAACAATTATGTTAACAGTCTTGTACTTGGAACTATTTCTGTTTCAAAATGACAGTTTATCAAGAGCATGGTTTGTGTTTGAAAAACACATGTTGATATAATTGATTAAAGGGATCTATACAGTAGATCTCCTCAGGGCACACTGTCAGATATTGGCACCAATATTTGGAGAACAGATTCATATGATAACCTTGAATATATATCTATTTGTAAATTGTTCTACAAATCAATACAACAGTTTGATTTATGATGAGAAATAATTGATCTAGACCAGGACTCAAAATTGTTTCCAAAGCTTGGAAGGCAGCATCTGGCTGTTTTATTGCATTTATTATGTTATTATATGTGCGGAAAGATGCATGGACTGATACATATACTCATCTCCTCATGCTGAGAGACGGACACATTTCTTAAACCTAAGTAGGATATCTCTTGATATTGTAGGAAGAGTTGTCTCATATATCATATAAATGCTATAATTATCATCTTTGTAGTCTGGATATATGCCGCATCAATCCCTATCCCTGCATGTACACTGGCAACTGAAGTTCTTTGATTGAAAGAATGTTAACTTACTGAGGTGATACGGTTCTCCATCACTGTGAGATCAATACCAGTCTGCAGAAACATCTTCCTATGGTGGTGTTGGTAAGAAGTGCTCACAGTGGATTGTGCTCAATCACTCATCATGCTGAGCAAAACTCAACTTGGGAAAATCCATATCAGAGCTAGTTGATTTACAGTAATGTTGTGTATCCAGCATGTAGCTATTTCACAGGATTGTGATGAAGACGGGGTCAGAAGTTGATAAGATTGGTGCATGTTTGCTATATATCCTGGATGGTAATATCCCCATATATTCATCGTTAAGAACATTATATATTGGACATTGTTTTGACTGGGATGATGAAGAAGTTAAACATTGAACTTACTGAAGTTTAGAAAAAGTTTGAGGTGCCAGTTAACTCATACATGGATATGTTATAGAACTGAGATTGAAGTACTTACCTCATTAGTGTGAGTTGCCTAGGTTACAGTGTCATGCCCACACACAGTTTCCAGTTCCGTGTAAAGTTGAGCCTCAAGTTGAGAGGACAGGTCCAGCCTTACTAGGCTGAGAAATGTGCGGAAGTTGTCCGATATAAAGCCAAGATAAATCTCCTTTAGATCCAAGAGGCACAGATATCTGTAATGTTCTTTACACTCCACACAGCAGTCATGATTACTCCAGACCTGCCTGGTGCCACTTACATCTCAGATTGGTCCCAAATTAGATGTGTGGATCACATGACTGGCCCATTATGAATGGTAAACACAGCAGCCCTGCCAGCACTAGAGACTGCGAGCCTGCTACACTGCATGTCTGGTGCCAGTATAGTACAGCATGGGATATAGCCCTCTCTTGTATGTGTGGTGCCAGTATATATACAGCATGGGATATAACCCTCTCTTGTATGTGTGGTGCCAGTATATATACAGCATGGGATATAACCCTCTCTTGTATGTGTGGTGCCAGTATATATACAGGATGGGATATAGCCCTCTCTTGTATGTGTGGTGCCAGTATATATACAGCATGGGATATAGCCCTCTCTTGTATGTGTGGTGCCAGTATATATACAGGATGGGATATAACCCTCTCTTGTATGTGTGGTGCCAGTATATATACAGCATGGGATATAGCCCTCTCTTGTATGTGTGGTGCCAGTATATATACAGGATGGGATATAGCCCTCTCTTGTATGTGTGGTGCCAGTATATATACAGCATGGGATATAGCCCTCTCTTGTATGTGTGGTGCCAGTATATATACAGGATGGGATATAGCCCTCTCTTGTATGTGTGGTGCCAGTATATATATACAGGATGGGATATAGCCCTCTCTTGTATGTGTGGTGCCAGTATATATATACAGGATGGGATATAGCCCTCTCTTGTATGTGTGGTGCCAGTATATATACAGGATGGGATATAACCCTCTCTTGTATGTGTGGTGCCAGTATATATACAGCATGGGATATAGCCCTCTCTTGTATGTGTGGTGCCAGTATATATACAAGATGGGATATAGCCCTCTCTTGTATGTGTGGTGCCAGTATAGTACAGCATAGGATATAGCCCTCTCTTGTATGTGTGGTGCCAGTATATATACAGGATGGGATATAACCCTCTCTTGTATGTGTGGTGCCAGTATATATATACAGGATGGGATATAGCCCTCTCTTGTATGTGTGGTGCCAGTATATATACAGCATGGGATATAGCCCTCTCTTGTATGTGTGGTGCCAGTATATATACAGGATGGGATATAGCCCTCTCTTGTATGTGTGGTGCCAGTATATATACAGGATGGGATATAGCCCTCTCTTGTATGTGTGGTGCCAGTATATATATACAGCATGGGATATAGCCACTCTCTTGTATGTGTGGTGCCAGTATATATATACAGCATGGGATATAGCCCTCTCTTGTATGTGTGGTGCCAGTATATATACAGGATGGGATATAGCCCTCTCTTGTATGTGTGGTGCCAGTATATATACAGGATGGGATATAGCCCTCTCTTGTATGTGTGGTGCCAGTATATATACAGCATGGGATATAGCCCTCTCTTGTATGTGTGGTGCCAGTATATATACAGCATGGGATATAGCCCTCTCTTGTATGTGTGGTGCCAGTATATATACAGCATGGGATATAGCCCTCTCTTGTATGTGTGGTGCCAGTATATATACAGGATGGGATATAGCCCCTCTCTTGTATGTGTGGTGCCAGTATATATACAGGATGGGATATAGCCCTCTCTTGTATGTGTGGTGCCAGTATATATATACAGGATGGGATATAGCCCTCTCTTGTATGTGTGGTGCCAGTATATATACAGGATGGGATATAGCCCTCTCTTGTATGTGTGGTGCCAGTATATATACAGCATGGGATATAGCCCTCTCTTGTATGTGTGGTGCCAGTATATATACAGCATGGGATATAGCCCTCTCTTGTATGTGTGGTGCCAGTATATATACAGGATGGGATATAACCCTCTCTTGTATGTGTGGTGCCAGTATATATACAGGATGGGATATAGCCCTCTCTTGTATGTGTGGTGCCAGTATATATATACAGGATGGGATATAGCCCTCTCTTGTATGTGTGGTGCCAGTATATATACAGTATGGGATATAGCCCTCTCTTGTATGTGTGGTGCCAGTATATATACAGGATGGGATATAGCCCTCACTTGTATGTGTGGTGCCAGTATATATACAAGATGGGATATAGCCCTCTCTTGTATGTGTGGTGCCAGTATAATACAGCATGGGATATAGCCCTCTCTTGTATGTGTGGTGCCAGTATATATACAAGATGGGATATAACCCTCTCTTGTATGTGTTGTGCCAGTATATATACAGGATGGGATATAGCCCTCTCTTGTATGTGTGGTGCCAGTATACAGTCAGACCTCGTTAATACGAACACTTTGTTTTTTTTAAATAAACGTTCGGATAGTGAAACGTTCGAACTGCTGAAACCACAGTATATGCACCGAGTTACTTCCCCTTGATATCTTTCCTTACTATCGAGACTCTGAGGTCATAGATGAAGCCTATGTTTATGAAGGAAATTATAAGCTTGTAAAACGTTATTGCTACTACATTCCATACACCATTTAAAAGATCTAATCCTACTGTTGATAAATATGAAGTTTATTTTTATAATGTTATTCAAAAACTATGGCGATTTTTTTTCCATTTGTGACATGTCATAACATGCCCGTGCCTTTTTTCTTTTATATTTTCATTTTTACGTCATCAGAAAATTATTATAAAAAGATTTCTTAAATAATATGTATGGTCGCCTATTTCCCGATATCTGTGGCTTTCCGCTGGGTAACATGACATAACAACGTTTTCGAAGCGTCGTATGAATAACATGGGAGGCGAATCGTTTGATGTCGGGTATCGTTCGAAAGCTCTGAACATCAACAACATCACTGAACCCTTGCCGAGAGTATTTTCACAGTTGTAAGAAGCGATTTTATTGGATAAAAATTGGTTTCTAATGACGCTTTTTCGCTACAGTCTGCTATAAGGGTCGTGATTGGTCAAAATCAGACACGTAACCTAAGGCAGCCAATCATATTACGGCAATGGATACTGTCCAATGTTATTGTGGACCCGCTGCCGAAGCATGTGTCCGAGAATCATTGTTTTCAATAACATTGCGAAAAATAGTTTATAATTTTAATTCGTGTTGAAACGGTACCGAGCATATATTTCTGGATTGAAGTCTTTCCCGAAACAGCGTGGTCGTCGAAATTTCCCTATCACTTATGATAAAGGGATCAAAGGGATGAGTCGCTAAGTCGCTAAACAAACAACGTGTCACTTTGGGTGGACCAGTCAGCAGCGCGGTCAACTTCAATCGTTCGGATTAACGCAGCTGTTTACAACTTAATTAGTCCAATCCGTTCCGACTGACCAGCGTTCGGAGGCGGAAACTGAATCATCGGACTAACGAGGTGTCAATTATATACAATATATAGGGAGATGATTTGGTGCCCAGTGAGTAGCGTTAGAAGTCGGTGGATTCGGATTAACGAGGACGGATTACAGCGGCCTGATTGTATATACAGCATGGGATATAGCCCTCTCTTGTATGTGTGGTGCCAGTATATATACAGCATGGGATATAAACCTCTCTTGTATGTGTGGTGCCAGTATATATATACAGCATGGGATATAGCCCTCTCTTGTATGTGTGGTGCCAGTATATATACAGGATGGGATATAGCCCTCTCTTGTATGTGTGGTGCCAGTATATATATACAGCATGGGATATAGCCCTCTCTTGTATGTGTGGTGCCAGTATATATACAGGATGGGATATAGCCCTCTCTTGTATGTGTGGTGCCAGTATATATATACAGCATGGGATATAGCCCTCTCTTGTATGTGTGGTGCCAGTATATATACAGGATGGGATATAGCCCTCTCTTGTATGTGTGGTGCCAGTATATATATACAGCATGGGATATAGCCCTCTCTTGTATGTGTGATGCCAGTATATATACAGGATGGGATATAGCCCTCTCTTGTATGTGTGGTGCCAGTATATATATACAGCATGGGATATAGCCCCTCTTGTATGTGTGGTGCCAGTATATATACAGGATGGGATATAGCCCTCTCTTGTATGTGTGGTGCCAGTATATATACAGGATGGGATATAGCCCTCTCTTGTATGTGTGGTGCCAGTATATATACAGCATGGGATATAACCCTCTCTTGTATGTGTGGTGTCTGTATATATACAGCATGGGATATAGCACTCTCTTGTATGTGTGGTGCCAGTATATATACAGGATGGGATATAGCCCTCTCTTGTATGTGTGGTGCCAATATATATATACAGCATGGGATATAGCCCTCTCTTGTATGTGTGGTGCCAGTATATATACAAGATGGGATATAGCCCTCTCTTGTATGTGTGGTGCCAGTATAGTACAGCATGGGATATAGCCCTCTCTTGTATGTGTGGTGCGAGTATATATACAAGATGGGATATAACCCTCTCTTGTATGTGTTGTGCCAGTATATATACAGGATGGGATATAGCCCTCTCTTGTATGTGTGGTGCCAGTATACAGTCAGACCTTGTTAATACGAACACTTTGGGTTTTTTAAATAAACGTTCGGATAGTGAAACGTTCGAACTGCTGAAACCACAGTATATGCACCGAGTTACTTCCCCTTGTTATCTTTCCTTACTTTTGAGACTCTGAGGTCATAGATGAAGCCTATGTTTATGAAGGAAATTATAAGCTTGTAAAACGTTATTGCTACTACATTCCATACACCATTTAAAAGATCTAATCCTACTGTTGATAAATATGAAGTTTATTTTTATAATGTTATTCAAAAACTATGGCGATTTTTTTTTCCATTTGTGACATGTCATAACATGCCCGTGCCTTTTTCTTTTATATTTTCATTTTTACGTCATCAGAAAATTATTATAAAAAGATTTCTTAAATAATATGTATGGTCGCCTATTTCCCGATATCTGTGGCTTTCCGCTGGGTAACATGACATAACAACGGAAAATACCTCCGTTTTCGAGGCGTCGTATGAATAACATGGGAGGCGAATCGTTTGATGTCGGGTATCGATCGAAAGCTCTGAACATCAACAACATCACTGAACCCTTGCCGAGAGTATTTTCACAGTTGTAAGAAGCGATTTTATTGGATAAAAATTGGTTTCTAATGACGCTTTTTCGCTACAGTCTGCTA